AAAAAAAAAAAAAAAAAAAAAAGGAAGCAGGGAGATCAAATGGGAAGGGAAACAAGAGATGAGGGGAAGAAGAAAAAAGGGATTAAAAAAAGAGTTGAAGAAAAAATGGAAACAGTAGCTGGGTGTGGTGGTGCACGCCTGTAATCCCAGCACTCAGGAGGCTGAGACAGGAGGATGTATCTTTGCAAGTTCAAAGCCAACCCAGGCTACATAGTGAGTTCAAGGCCAGCCTGAACTACACAGTGAGATCATGTCTCATAAAACAAAACAAAACAAAAAATGGAAATAGGGCTTCTACAAATGGAAAAGGGAAGAAGAGTTGCAGGGAACAGAAGGATGAAACAGGTAGGGGACAAAAAATAAGAATTAAGATGTGTTACATATATGTACTAACTCCCCACAGTAAATGTAATCATTACAAACTACAAAAATGTACTAATTCTTAAAATGATATTAAGGATATATTTCTTTAGAAGTTGTGGTGAAATACTATGAACATTCATTGAAAGTATAGGATTCATTGAAACTCACTTTGTCTATACTTCATGATGATCAACCAGCTTGGAAACAGGTACCTTCAAATCTGTCCACTTTCTTCCTGTCAGAATAGGAGAAGCAATTTGAAGATAGACCTGAAAACCACAATGTCACAAGCCCCCTTCTCAACTACCCAAAAGTAAAATAAAATGTCAGAATTAGCCAGGTGTAGTGGCACATGTCTATAATCCCAGCACTCAGGAGGCTGAGGCAGGAGGATCACCACAAGTTCGAGGCCAGCCTGGGCTACATAGTAAGTTCAAGGTCAACCTGAACTACACAGGGAAACCCTGTCTCAAAGCATCAAAAAAAGTCAGAATAGCATAATGAGGAAGCCCTAACAAGGAGAGAAATGGAGAAGCTACACTGGAGTTAGCCTGATATGGCTGAGTGTACACAGGAAAGCAGTACCACATTACCCAAACGGAGGTGTAGGTCTGAACCTCTCTCCCTGGGTGGAGCAATAGGATCCCTGATCCTTATTCTACCATTTTGTAGTATTATACACTAAGGAAGTAGTTCTAAACCCTTCAACTCTGAGGGGGAGGAGTATTCGCGGATGGTGTATTTCTTTATGGGGCGAGGTGATAGCCTCTTTTCCCAAGGGGTTGCATGTCTCATTTACCATGGGATACAAGACAGTGGAGATAGATCTCAGGAGCCTACCCGGTGGAAAAAGCCTCAGAACAGGGATCTTAGCTAGACAAGGTGGTGCATACCTATAGTGCCAGCACTCTGGAAGGCAGAGGAGGGCAATCATTTCTGAACACAGCTGGGAGAATTTAGTGACTTAGCAAGCTCTTGTTTCAAATTTTAAAAAGATTAAAAAGGGCTGGGGATGTAGATCAGTAAAAAGGCCCTGGGTTCAATCTCCAGTACCAAAGGAAAAAAAAAATCAAAACAAAACAAAACAAAAAGCCAGGTGTGGTGGTGCATGACTGTAATCCCAGCACTCCCCTGTAATCCCAGCACTCGGGAGGCTGAGGCAGGCAGATCATTGTGAGTCTGAGACTAGCCTGGGCTACAAAGTGAGTTCCAGACCAGCCTGAACTGCGTAGTAAGACCCTGTCTCAAAAAGACAAAACTAAATACATAAATAAACTGAATTTAAAAAAAATAACCAGGGCCTATGTGGACTGAGCTCAGTGCAAAATCTTAAAAGGGGGGTACCAGGCAATGGTAGTGCACGCCTGTGATCCCAGCACTCAGGAGGCTGTAGCAGGAGGAGTGCCAATGAGTTTGAAGCCAGCCTGGGCTACATAGCAAGATCAAGGCCAGCCTAAACTACATAGTGTGACACTGTCTAAAAAAAAAATCTTATGAGGGGGTAAAAATCTATGCCTCTGTGTGTATAATTAGAGTCTGCATCTTGGCATTTGGAAGGGACGGTGCCATCTGTCCCTCTACTCTAAGGCACAGAGAAACTGTGGAAACTAATACAGTAGCTGTGTGCATGGCTGGTGCTCGGAAGAGAAACACAGGACCATGTATCTCTAAATTGTTGGGAGTGGTCTTAGGTCTGTTTAACCTGGAGAGGCAGGACTGACTTCACAATGAGGTGACAGCAATGCCCTATTAATAAAGACAGAAAATTACGCAGTCTGAATGAGTAGGGTGTACACTTTTGCCTGTACGATCCTATTCTGAACCTTTCCATGGGTGGTGGATTGGTATTATCTGTGTGTCTTCTATCTGGGTTGAAGTCAGCAGCACACTAACATTAATAAGAATAGGGTTTCCAGTTCCAGGCACAGGTCAAGGGTGAGAAAGCAGACGGCAATACAATTATAAATTCAATGGATCTGATCCTACATTGAGGAGATATGTCATTTTACCCTGGGTGAGGAGAAACACATCTGAACTACTGCACCTTGAGTAAAGACAGAATCCATATGCACTGTTCTGTAGGGTAACACCTCTACATTATAGGAGTGGAAGCTGCACGTCTGCATCAGTAACCCTTGGCTACACTTGGGGATAAGTCCTTGGAGAGGTCCGTGTCTGCCTCAAAAGAGGAAGAAAATCTGAGTCCCCTACCCTGGGGGTCTCTAGAGGGCAGACCTGACTGTCCCTTCAGAAACTAAGGTCTGTTCCTGTTTGTTGAGGCACTTTTGAGGTAGGCCGTTACAGATTTAGTAAAACAGCACTTCTTTATGGGGTAGTAATCGGGTCTGGAGGAAGCGGGAGTGGTCCTCCAAAGGCTAAGAAGCCCTATGCGTCTAACTACTTCAGGAATGTGTGATCCACCCGCTCGGCAAGGGTGGGGGTGGGGTTTTATCAATTAGTCACTCGGCAAGAGTGGAAGGGACAAGAGGTTCAAGGTCTCAAATAAGAGAAGTTGGTTTTTTCCTGTATCTTACGCTTTTCTGAGCTCCTCTATACTGGGTGGGGGGGTAATGTCAAAGTTTCTGTCCTGATGGAGAAGGTGCGTGCATGCGAGTCAGTGTGTCTTAAACCGGGAGAGGTCCGAGCCGCGCGGCCGCACACTGGACATTCCGCCGCAGGTGTGGGCGAGGTCCCCACGCCGCCGCTGGCGTTCCGTTGTAACGCCAGTCTACGCCAGGGGGAGCAGTGAGGCGTGCGGCCTCACCGTGCCGGGGGACGCAGGGCAACCGGCGCTTTGGGGTCCACAGCGGGGTCCGTAACTCTACACAGTATTCCGAGGTCTACACTTTCCTGAGCGTGGGTGGGACCGTACTCCGCCACCCGCGGGAGTGCAGCTCCGCACCCCGTCCACTTGAGGGCAATCCTCGCCCCTCTTACTGGGCCTTCTACCCCGGAGCCAGCCGTGCTATTTACTTCAGGCTGGCCGGCGTCTCTAACTGCACCTGTGGGTACAGAGCGAACCGCTGAGCGAGCGAAAGATCACCAAAAGAAAAGAGGAAAGTAGACTCTTACCTACCCTTCCGGCGGAGAGCGGGGAGGAGAACACGGTGGAACAGCGCCGGCGGAAGAAAGGGGCGCGACTCGCCGGTTCCGACTTTCGGAACGCAGCCTCGCGGCACAAAGCCCCGCCTACCACGCGTCGTCCGCGGGGCAGGGCCTCGGACGGATGGCTGCGGAGGCCAGTCCCTGACGCTTCGCGCTCGCGGCCCGCCCCCCGCCTGCACCGTAGCGAAAGAAATAGCTGTAACGGGAGGCAGAAGGTGGGGAAGCAGTGAGGCTAGCGACGGATCTCGTCCTATGGCCATATAACCTACACGCAGGACGAAATCTTGTCCGCTGGCTTCTGTCTGCAACTAAATATGCGTGTGCCTAAATGTTAGGGAGCGGGCGATCGCTGCCAGTATCAGACGAGCGTGGGGGTTGGTGTCTTTGTCTGCCTGGAAGATGGCGTCCGACATGATGTGAGAAAATGGCCGCCTGGGTCACATGTCTGGCGGAGTGTTTCCCACCTGAAGTGAATTGGTTAGCTGTTCCAGCAACCTTCCTAGCTGGTAGGACCCCAGACAAACCCTAAGGCATGCATTCCCAGCATTTTATTCACAAGTTCAGATTGACGACCATGCGCAGCCAGAACAGGAACCTGAAACCTGAAATTCTCTCCCACCCCTGTGATCCTTTCCCCCACCTCCTCACCTATCTCTCTGGTGAACGTTGGAGCAGCGTTGGCAGAAAGGAATTTATATCTTAGAAATGAGGGAAAAGTAAAATTTCTCCGGAAACTGTCTCGAGGACCTTCAGACCTGGCTGACAAGTGAGATACGCCCCTAAAAACAGTAAATATTAGTCTGCAAAAGTAGTTATACAGCTGGTTTCTCTTAGTTCATTGAAAAGAAAGATTTGTGCTAATATTGTCTGGACATTATGCCTATATCTTGTACCCTGGGTAACTACTGTGAAGATAACAATGCACAATGTATTAATTATTTACTCTATTAGCCCAGTTTGAAACTTTTATTTTTCTTCTCTTTAAAATAAAAATTTTAAAAAATAGCCGGGCGTGGTGGCTACAGACACAAAGTTCCTCTAGACCCAGCATTTGCAAACTCTTTTTCTCCAAGACCTAATGCCTGTCACTTCTGCGAAGTTACCCTGAATTTCTCAGATGGGTAACAGAGCCAGAACATATTGTTGATACAGCTAACCTAGTACTTATCACTTAATAGTGTACTGTATACTTAATACTGTACTGATTATGTAGCTGTACTGTATCTCCATAGGAAAATGGACTCCCTGACTAAAGGAGCTATACGTTTTGGAGCCTTCAACCTGACCCAGCATAAGAATAGTACAAATCTTGCTTCAACAAGCTTGTTAAATGGGTGAGTTTAATGGGAAATTTGCATCATACAGAGAAAAATAAAACTAGATCCTTAACCAAGGAAAAAGGGTAGCCCGGCAATGTGAAAGTAACAGGTGACACACACCTATAATCCCAACACTTTGGGAGGTTGAAGCAGGAGGATCACTCATGAGTTCAAGGCCAGCCTGGGCTACATAATGAGTTCCCGTTCAGCCTAAATTACAGAACAAGACTCTGTCTCAAAAAAAAGAAAAAAAAATGTGCAGGAAAATATCTTCGCAACTATAACTGGGGAGAGACTTTTTAAACAAAAGGGGAAAAATGTAGGGAAATCTTTGATAGGAGTGAAAATTGGTACTATTGCTTTTGAAAACAAGTACAAAGTATCCAGAATAGTTAGAAATGCTCCTGGAACCCAGCAGTTCTGTTGGAGATAGGTAGAGATCTCCCCTAGATATTAAGTCCTAGAGAAATGCTTCCCCCCCCCACCCCCGTACCGGGAATCAAACTCACGACCCCGCGCTGCTGAGCTCAGTCCCCAGCCCTGAGAAATTCTTATGCATATGCTCATGAAGACATATATGTACTTCATTACAGAACTGTTTGTAATAGTCCAGCATGGTGACATATGCCTATAATTCCCAATACTCTGGAAGGCTGTGGCAGTAAGATCGCAAGTTCAAGCCCAGGCTGGGCAAGTTAGCAAGACCTTGTCTCAAAAAATAAAAATGGCTGGGCATGGTGGTACACACCTGTAATCCCAGCATTTGGGAGGTTAAAGCAGGAGGATTCCCTTGAGTTTGAGTCCAGGCTGAGCTACATAAGGAGTCCAAGTGCAGCTTGAACTACATAGTGAGACCCTGTCTCAAAAGAAAATATGGCAACCCATTGGGGACTCCTCCTGTTTCTCAGGAACTATTGCTGTTTCGTATTTCTCCATTGCTATTCCCCATTCCTTTTCTCCAATACATTTTCCTACTCTTTAAATAAATAAATAAATAAATTTGCTGAGATGTAGAGCAATGTGAAGGCCTTGTTTTCAACCCCTTGAACTGCAGCAAAAAAACAAAAAAGAAAAGTTATAGCTGGGCATGGTGGTATACACCTGTAATCCCAGCACTCGGGAGGCTGAGGCAAGAGAATTGCTGTGAGTTTGAGACCAGCCTGGGCTGCACAGTGAATCCAAGTAAAGCCTGAACTCATAGCAAGTCCCTAATCTCAAAAAAAGTGTTTTTAGACTTACTTTTATTTTTGAATCCCAGTATCTAATTAAGACTTGTGCACTATATTTGGTTGTTATATTCCTTTAACCTATGTTAACCTCAAATGGTATTCCTATATTTTAGGGGAAATTCCTTTTTATTTTGTTCTTGTCTCCTATACTTTTGTGTGTTTCAAATATCAATTTTGTTGTTTTGTTTCGTTTTTTGAGACAGAGTCTTGCTATGCAGTTCAGGCGGACCTTGGACTCACTATGTAGTCCAGGCTGACCTTGAACTTGCAGCAATCCTCATGTCTCAGCCTCCTAAGTACTGGGATTACAGGTGTACAACCATACCCTTCACCCAACATTGATATTTTGAAGAGTCCAGGCTAGTTGTCTCACAGAATATCCCAAATTCTGGATTCATGTTTTCTTTCCACATGATTAGATTCAGATTAAACATTTTCAACAAGACCAATACATTTGGGAATGTCCTTTACTTCATATTATATCACTCAAGAGACACATAATATCAAGTTGTCTCACTAACAAGTATGCCTTTGTTGTGTATATTTTATTTTATGTGAATGATAGTCTCTTCCCCTTGGTGGTGATGGGGTGGTGAGACAGGGTCTCACTATGTAAACCCTGGTCTCAAACTCAAGAGTTTCCTGCCTCAGCCTCCAAGTGCCAGAATTACAGGTGTGAAACACCACACTCATTTCTTACATTTTCATTTAGCCTCCTGTTTTTAAGGTCTATGCATATTGTTACGTATATATCTAATCCATTGCTTCTAACTGCTTGTTAACCAGTGTGCTTTCACTGCATTTTCCCTAAATGTTTCCCCAGTAATGGACAGCAAAATTGCCTTCAGCTCCCCAATGCCACAAAAAATAACTTGAATGAACATCCTTGAACATGACCCCTTACTGAACTGTATGAGAATTTCTTCTAAACATACACCCAAGAGCAGAATGACTATATCCTAAAGTATACATATACCTACTTTGATTTAGGACACCAGTACTTACAGATGCTTCTCCGGAATGGGCTGTTCCAGTCAAACACTTTAACCATGTATAAGGATATCTTTTTTTTCTTTTTTGGGTACAGTGGAGGTTGAGACAACATCTCACCCAGTGACAATTTCTTTATTACCATATCCTCACTAACCCTTGCCATTTTCCAGCTTTCTAATTTTGCTAGCCTAAGAGATTATTATAGTTTGACTTTCTTCAATTTTTAAAGAAAGTCTGAGACCTCTTTATTATGTGTATTAAACACTTCTGTCAATTGCTGGCTTTATGTAGTTGCCTCATTATTTCTCTTGGGGTTCCTATTTTTCCCATTTTCCTGTTGATTTGCCCAAGTTCCTTGTAGAGTCTGTTACTTTCAGATGTTGTGCATATTCTAATCTTGCCCATGATGGCCTTTCAAGAGAAATTTTTAATTTGGTTTTCTTTTTCTTTTTCTCTTTTTGAGTCAGAGTTTCACTATGAAGTTCAGGCGGGGCTTGAACTTACTTTGTAGCCCAGGCTGGCCTCGAACTCACAGCAGTCCTCCTTCCTCAGCCTCCCAAGTGCTGGGATTACAGGAAGGCATCACCATGCCCAGCCAGAAATGTTTAATTTTATTGACATTTTAAAAATAATTTTTTTGCTTTGGGGCTTTGTTTCTTTCTTACACAGGGTGTTGCTATGTAGTCCAGGCTGGCATCAAACTCACTGTGTAGCCTACACTGACCTGGAACAAACAGTCCTTCTACCTCAGCCTCCCAGAAGCTGGGATTACACTTTGTGGGTTTTGGTTTGGGGATTTTATTTCAAAAATATATCCCTCCTCCTGAATTATAAAGATATTGTACTTTTTTTTTTCTTAACTCCATAGTTGTACCCTTCAAATTTAGGGGGTTGCTTTGTTTTGTTTTTTGTTTTTTGGGTTTTTTTTTGTCTTTTTGAGACAAGGTCTCGCTATGCAGTTCAGGCTGGCCTTGAGCTTACTTTGTAGCCCAGGCTGGTCTCAAACTTGCAACAATCCTCCTGCCTCAGCCTCCCAAGTTCTGGGATTACAGGCGTGTGCCACAACGCCTGGCTGCTTTTCTTTTTTTCTTTTTTTTTTTGTGGGGGGGGTACTGGGAATTGAACTCAGGACCTTGCACTTGCTAGGCAGGTGCTTGTGCCGCTGAGCTATATCCCCAGCCCTGTTTTGTTTTGTTTTATTGTAAGATAGAGTCTCACTTTGTAGTTCTGCCTGACCTCGAACTCACTGTGTAGCTCAGGCTGGCCTTGGACTCATGGCTGTTGTCCTGCTTCAGTTTCGTGAGTGCTGGGATTACAGGAATGTGCCATCATGCACCAGTTTTGGTTTGTTTTGTTTTTTGAAGACAGGGTCTTGTTGTGTAGTTCAGGATAGCCTTGAACTTACTGTGTAGCCCAGGCTGCTTGAATTCATGGTGATCCTTCTGCCTCAGCCTCCCAAGTACTGGGCTTGCAGACATATGTGTCACCAAGTCCAGCTCTCAAATTTAGGTTTTAATCCTTCTAGAATTCACTCTTAAAAGTGGTAAAAGGTAGAGATACAGTTTTTTTTTCATATAATGAGCCATATTTCCCACCATCAAATACTGTACTGAACAATTCCGCCATTTCCTATTTATTTATCATACCCCCTTTATCATATGCATATTATGATACACACACATACATAGGTTTTATTTCTGTTCTTGCATTAATGCCACTTTGGTTTTACTGTTTTGTAATTCATTCTTTTTTCTTTTCTGAGACAGGGTCTCACTATATAATTCAGACTAGCCTCAAACTTGCCTCCTACCTCAGCATCCTCAATGTTGAGATGACAGGAATACTCTACCTTGCCATGCTTGTAATGTATCTTAATACCTGATAGAGTATGTCCTCCTCTTTGGTTTATTTTTAAAGTTAACTATATCACTACATAAATTAGTTCAAGCTGGCCTTAAACTCACTGGGTATCCAGACTGGGCTTGAATTTGTGATAATCCTCATGCCTCAGCCTCCCAAGTGCTGGGACTATAGGTGTGCACCACCATGCCCAGCTCCCCACATAAATTTTTTAAGTAAATGATCACATTCATCGTAGAGAATCTGTACCTGTAAATAACATATCTTGATTCTTCTTTTTTTCCCATTCCCCTTCCCTCACTTCAATTCTCCCTCTCCTTCACATTTACAAAAGCTTTGTTTCCATTTTTTTCTTCTATTCCTTTTTTTCCTTCCTCCCCCTCCCGCTCCCTTGCTCCCCTTCCCATGTGAACATTTTCAACCTATTTTCAAATATCTTATCATCCATTTTTTACCTTTGCAGTCTCTCACCCAAGAAAAACAATACAACATGTAGACATGTGTGCCTGATGTATTTCACTTAAAATTATGTTCTCAAGGTGCAACCATAATCTAAAAGTTACTCAACTTTATCCTTCTTTATGGCAAAGTAGTACCCCATTGTATATAAAAACCACATGTTCTTTATCCATTCATCCAATGGTGGGAATCTGGACTATTTCCAAGATTTAGCTATTACAAATTGTGCTGCTATAAACATGGGTGTTTGGGGCTGGGGATTTAGCTCAGCGGCACAGCGCCTGCCTGGTTGTGAGTTTGATTCCTGCTACTGGAAAAAAAAATTAAATATAAACATGGGTGTTCATATTATTGCCGTGGTATGATGCTTTTAACTTTTGGGAAAATACTAAGAAGGAGAACTGCTGGACAAATGCAACCTCTAGTCCTAGTTATTTGAGGACTCTCCACACTGATTTCCACAGTAGTTGCACC